ACCGCAAACCATGTGGTTTATTTATTGAAAAACGATGGCTTATTTGGAAAATGCATCCATCCAAGTAGGTATTTGATGACAAACACAACAACCTTACAGCTGATTTTTCATTAGATTTTTAAACGTCTTAATAAATTGTTCAGTGTTTATTGAATGAGACGTCCGCGGGTTCGGGTTAGGTTCCATTTTACTTACAATTGTTGATGCAAATTCTTGCAAATTGAGCTAATGGAATTTAGACGACAATAGCCAAGGCCAAACTTAACTTTTATTTTTGATGCTTAAAATCGATTTCAACGCTTTAACTCGAATTGTTAAAGTCAACCTTTTATCCTGTTACAATCGATTGCATGGAATTTTAAAGCCTCGTTATCCCTCTATTGACTTATGTCAATGCCCGCTCAACCAAATTTTTTGTTGATTTTTTCGACATTTTTGTTTACATAAATACATGGACAAGTCGACAATTCTCGGGCATTTTTTTGATTTATTGGTCTGATAAAATCGGAAATTTATAGTTTCTCATTACGGCATCGACAAATCATTAACCAATTATCTTAGCTATGTTTCGGTCTACCTAGAATATCATCATCATCATTTTCTGATTTTTGGGAAGCATTTAAGTTCATCGGTACCAACATTCACCGATTACGTGGAGTTTTTTAATTCCACTTTAAAGAATCGATTTGACATGGAGTTGATTCGTATGTCTCAATACCAATTGTTGTCAATTTCAATCAAGTCTAATGTTATTTGACACTTTTATTCAGTTTTGAAAATTTTTCCTCCACAAGGGCCTGTTCAAACTTTTTTCCACTTCTAATCATCCCATGTTAAGAGAAAGTGTGAAATTTTTTTTTTATTTGCTAAAAATTTTGGTGGGACTAGGGATGGGGAAAAATGATGTTTTCCTAACATCGACATTACCTTTCGATGACAACATTGATTGCTACCATCGATGTTATAGGATCGATGTCCCATCCCTAGGTGGATTATTATGATTTTTCTAGGACCATTATGATTTTTTTGAAATTTTACATTTAATTTTTTGTCTCTAAACGAAGTTCCGTTCCAAAAAAGATATTCTTTAATTCATAAAATCGCGGGCCTATCGTGCCCGATCCTTCGGTTTTTTCAACTTTCCAACTTTCATAGTTTTCAAGAAAATCGCGAAAATACGGTTTTCAAAAAACTGCAAATATCTCGATAACCAAAAGAGCTGAACTGTTCAGTTTATGGGCCGTCACAAGCTTCACAAAAAAGTTGGTGTTCACTTTTTCGCTATGATCGGTAATAAGCGAGCAATTCTGGGTAAATAATAAATTTACATGTTCCAGCTTCCAGCTCTTATGTAGATACGGGTAAGATGCATGCGTTATAGATCTTTCTTTCCCTATAAGTCTACTTATAGGCATATGTTTTGGCATTTGAGAATATATCCACATGTCCGGTATGCCGCCCAGCTCAGTTGTAATCTCCTTGTTATCTCAGACGTTTGATTTTCTTTACCCTATTTAATTAAATGATCTAGGTATGCGTATTCTTCTACGGTATCGAACACGTGATGGCCTTTTGCTATATGTAGGTCATCTTTACTCATGATCTTGGTATTATACAGGTGCATTTTTCCCAGGTCCCACCTGCATGGCCCCTTCATGCAGTTCTTTCATCATGATCTCTATTTCATTGGGGTTGCTGCTTATTACATTACATATTAGATGCACATTTATACCTCTTGCTTCCCAGTGCAACTTCTTAAATAAATTTTCCAGGCACAATGTAAATCATTTGGGTGAGATAGTGTCCCCTTGACGAACGCCTCTGTTTATTGGGATTTGATCTGTTATTAGATCCTCGCCTATTGCAACCTGGATTGATACATTTTCGTAGATGCATTTTATGAGGGTGGAGTATCTTGTATCTATGCTGACTGTGTCCATTGCTGCTGTTAGAAACTCCCATGTTTCTATTGAGTCAAATGCTTTGTGGTAATCTATAAATGCCGTAGGAAGAGTTTATATATATTGCATTCAACACTTTTCTCGATTAGTTTGTAAGTGCTCTGTTGTGTTAAAACCTTTTCGGAAACCTGCCTGTTGAACTGGTAGCTAAAAGTCGAATTCCCTTGACAGCAACACATTACACTTGACAAATTATTTTTTCTTGAAAAAAATCGTTTCCAAGTATAGGACCGATGACGTCATTGCGTCCCACCAAGAGTGAAGTGCCACAGTTTTGGGAAAATGGGTTTTTCAAATGTATATTGAATTAAACGTCCGGCCTCATGTTCCATTTTACTTACAATTGTTAATGCGAATCCTTTTCCACGGTTTCTGACAAAAGCAGTTCTGCAGAAAACTGATCCCAAAGGACACCGGCCAACAGACTACACAAGAACGACGCACAGACTACACACTATTATATTCAGACCACAGGCCTATTGGAACTCCCGGGCGGCTGTGTGCGTGTCAAAGAGAACTGCGTACTTCTCTTTATCTATGACAGAAATAACGATGCAGTAACGCATTCCAATATACTATCACTCGGCTATAAGAAGTTATCCCTTCAAAAAGTGAAAAATGTCAGTGTCATCAAATGAAATTATACTAAAAGAAGTGCTCTTAAGCAACGATTTAGACTGAACACGCCCTGTGTTGAGTCTGATTGAAACAAGTATTCACATCAGGGAGGGCCAACCGAAAAGTCGGTCCTCAAATTGGCTTTCTTGCTTTGCAAGTTTGCCAAGTTGTGAAAAAAGCTTCTAGGCACCTGTAGGCAAATTTTTTAATTTCGCGTGAAAACGAGTTGGCCCTATAGAGTCGACTTTGCCCTTCAAACTTGGTACAAACGTGCCTCTCTGTATTTTCAACTTTCAGAGTATATAAGAAAATTTTAAACTATTGTGCAAAATCAATGTTGTATACCATTGCAATTTGGCAAAATTGGCTGATGATTTCTGAATACGTAAACCACTTCTAAAACGTCTACTACTAGAATTCGCTTTCCCCTATCAAACGCTTTTAAAATTGACTTTATTACTTTGAAGATTAAGCCAGAAATGAGTATCTACTAAACGCCGGCCTGCAAGTACAACTTAATATCTTAATAAGTATTGCAAGTACAACTTAATATCTCCTTAATATTGCGTGGTCATTGCTAAAAATAAAAACAAGGTCGCCTAATAGAACAGATTTTGCCCTACAAATAGGATCCCAAGGCACCTTTTCAACTTCCTATGCAAATAATCAAATGCGAAACTACGACGCGCAAAACCAACCTAAATAGTTCCGCGACTTGAAGTTGCAGCACGAGGCAAAACCGGAAAATGGCACCAATGTTTACTTATATAAAGATCTTCCTACCTATATAAGGAAGCCTACAAAATACATACAGAACAAAGTTTTCACTTCGAAAGTTTCAGAATAAATGCGTGCTTAACTTCGGCCTGCCTGCATAAACCCCACGAGAACCAGGCACTATTTTGAAAAGTTCTTCAAAATCATGTGATAATGACTGAAAAGCCAAACGTTTTCCACGTATGGAGCAGATTTCGACCTACTACAAATTTGATGCAAAAGTAGCTACTTTAACGCTTTGCTTAATTATCTGCAAAAACCCAATGCAACTTTGAGCAATTGTTCAAGTAGTAGTAGTAGTAATAGTTCCACAGAACTATTACTACAAGGAGACCTCCTCTTCACCACCTGTCTCTCTAACTAAGGCAAATATCCGTCTCTACTCTAGGGAAGACCAGAAGTGCAGGAGAGTGTGGAGGCCCCAAGCAGGCGCCTCCTCATGGTCGACCTGTGGTGGCATACTCCTAGAAGGTGATACGATATTTGCTATCCCGTTCCACATTGTGGACATACGGGGCTAACACCGATTCCAAGTAGGTGTATGTGTCTGTTCAGATCGCATTAGCCTGTTATGACCCCAACCCGAGTTCTCAGGGCTCAGCGACTCCTTAACATCAGCCATTTGGACGTTTTCTTAGCCTCGCCACCTGTCTGTTACTTAGCCCTATGTGAAGTTCGGCAGTTATTGGGCCATCAAAAGATCCGCGCCTGGCTAATACGTCGGCCTGTTCGTTCCCCGCCAAGCCCATGTGCGCCGGAATCCACACCAGGTTTACCTGTTTCTGTCATGCCACTTTATTCAGGGCATCCCAGCACTACTGGATCAGTCTACTGCCCATCCTAATACTGAGAAGTGCATTTAGGGCCGCCTGGCTGTCAGAGTAGATCTCAATCTCTTCTTCTAGTCCTTCTATGACATCCTTGCCTGTGGCAACCTCGAGGATAGCATATAATTCCGCTTGATAGACGTGGTTCAGCTTTCCAACGAAATCGGTGCTCCCCGATTGGTGGCTTGCCGGTACACTCCCGACCGGGACAACCGCTCCTGTTAAGCCTACAGGTATAACCGCCACTCTCCAACTCCTTGCAATGTAACATGAGAAAATAAATGGGGGTGCCTGAGGTTGGCTAACTCACTAGTCAGAACCATGATTTGCAATTCCAATACAGCCAAAAATTGCAGAGGATGACTAGAAAGGAAACGACTGAGTCTCTCAAGTGGTCTTCGTGATTTTCAAAAAATCGAAACAAGCATTGAACGAAGTTCAGTTCAATGCTTGTTTCGATTCAATGTTTGTTTGCATTCAATGTTGGAATGTTGTGAGATCCCAGTCACATGTTGTGACATGTGACTAGTGACATGCAGGCAGTCAAGCACAGCTTACGATTATTGGGCGATATCTCTATTGAACCTTACGACCAAGCGGATCGAAATCGGAACTAAAAGCATATACCTGGGGCTTTAAAAACCTACGAAATTGAAAAACAAATGCTATTATTTCCGGAGAGACTCAACTCCTAAAACATTTTGGAAGGGCCTCTTGCGTTTTATCCGATAATAAAATTTAGAGCTATGTTAATTAAATAATTTTATTTTGAACGTTGGCTTATATTTAAGTGTTTATAATGAATTAATTCTTTCAGGGTTTGCCCAAGTGCACCATCAAGCTACCAGCTTGGGACGACATAACCGGCGCCCTGCCTCGGCTTCATATTCCCGCCATGCCGGCCGTGCGTTCCAAGCGCGGCTGGTGCGGCTGCCTACAAGTAAGTTTTTCAATGTCATTAAAAGTGTTCTTAAAAGTTTAGTCAAAGACAATAATAAATAGATAAAGCTAGTGATTCATAAATCCCGATTTGTATGGGAGCAACATTAAATTATATCGATCGGCGATTCATCCATGCAAAATAGGTGGTAGGGATAAAAGTACTAAAAGTCGGTACCGATCGATATTTTCACATAAGTAGAATTAATGGAAAAAACAACTCGCCTGGCCGCTAGCCATAGGCGTAGTAAATATTTATATTAATCGATTTATTCTAAGCATGAAAGGTTCTTCAATTTTCTGAACGTTATCTCTACATTACACCTGTTGTTTTTTTTAGTTTAAAACACTAAAATATTTGGAAATTAGTGACCGTACGAAAAAATAAGTCAAATAAGAAGTTAAAATCTGAGAAGGAAACGTTTATTTATTTGTATACTAGGCAGGGGTCAACTTGATAATTTCAAGTAGTAACCATACCATTTTACTGAAGATTCGAGTAGTAAGTCAAAAAGTGAGAATGTTTTATCTAAAACATTTTCTTCGATTTTGACAGGTGGCGGGTGTTTTTTCTTATCTTGAAACTTGCCCTTTTAAATGTTGATTGGCTGATACAGATTATTGGAAATTTATTCACAATGCCATAATGCAGCCGCCCACACCTGAGTATGACCTCAAAAGATCCTTGTCTGTTCCCTGTTGATAATCGTGCAAGACAGTATGGGTTAGGAAAATACAATTTTTCTGCAAATGACACGCGAAATTGCCGTATTTACAAGTCCAACGAGTCCACTTACCCTTACTATAAGTTTACTACCACATTCCCCTCATGTGCAGTGCTGCCATCAAGAATGTTTCATTACGTTTTCTTGTAATTACCACCTTAAATTCTTATGAATTTTTTATTTAAAATTTAAACGCTGTTATTTTAGTGACATTTGCGCGTCTTTTTTACAAACTAAACAAATATAAGACTAAATATATTTATGGCTACAGTTTTCCTGCTATTTTGCTGTTGATGCTTTTCATACATATCAAATTGATTAACGAGCTGGCAAAGCAGCTTACATAAGTACTTACTTTTACATGACAGTGAACCATTGTTGCTCCCATCGAAAAATTTAAACAAATGCATCTGTTTAATCTGAGAGTTTAGTACTTGATGCATAGTTGCCAACCGTGGCGAAATTCCGCTACATGTGGCGGAAATAACTTACAATAGCGGTGTAGCGCCAGTAGCAACAAAAGAGCGCAAAACAGCAGGCAAACTGTCAGGTCTCAAAAAGAACAAAACTATTTTAAATACTTACTATACTAAGAATACTTGAAATGCATACTAACATAATACTTCAACTATTGCGAAATTATTCAAACTCTATGTATTCACATACATTTTATATTATATTCGCTAAAATTCTTTCATAAAAACTCGAAATCCGAGATATGGCAATTAGTACATTAGATTTTTATATATTTCCGGCTTTCAATTCGTTTGATGGTATGTTCCAATCCTGAAATATTTTGGTCGATTCATTTATTTGGAAAACACGAGATTCTAGAAAATTGTGTGTATTAATTTCGTAAAATCGTCTTATTATTCTAATAAAGTTGAACTTAATCCCTAAAATACTTAATATTTAATAATGAGCAATTTCAGCAAAAAGTCTTGAGTCTTTGAGCAACCATAAAATGCCTTACCATAATGTAAACATAAAACACGACCTTACAAGAATATGTAAAAAAATTGATTTGGTAAAAAACTGAATGCAGTAAAAACGATATCTGAATAGGCAGGGTGTTTCTTCATAAGTTGACACTCCGCCTAGATCGTATATTTCAAACAAATTGTGAAAGTGACCAACACAAAATTAGTTTAATTTTACTCAAATTTTTAAAATCTGAATTTAAAATAAACATATAAAGCACTGAAATGTTAAAATTTCGTTTTGACTGATTTATTTAATTTTTAAAACGTAATGTTGGAAAAACGCCGAATGCAAATCCAGGCAAAATATATATTTTTGAAATACAAATAATATATTGTATTATTTGTACAAAAATACTTTGTGAAATTTTTACATTTCTGTGTTTTATATTTTTACTTTAAATTCGGATTTAAAAAATGTGGGTAAAAAATTTTGTGTTTTTTTTTTCAATAAACGATCTAGGGGGTGTGTCAACTTATGAGGAAACAGCCTGGACCTGTCAACTCTAGGGATCGAAATAAATGGCAGGAAATATCATCATGGCATAATATAAGTGCTACAGGCAACAAAAACCCACTGGGTTGTAAGGATACAGAAGGAGAAGAAGAAGAATTTAAACGAACTTTTATAGATTATGAACAGATGGCAAAACTGAACTCAATTAAATTCGATGATTTATTAACAATGCGAATTAGAGAAACAAGATACGTTAAAGGTTGACCACCGTTATCGGCAAGTCAATCTTTGCGGAATTCTGGGATGTCAAAGGTGGTAATTTTAATTCGTTTGTACGTCATTATTCTGAAAATGTCCGGGTGGAAATCTTACAATTTTGGTCACCATGTTTTCCTTTAAATCGTGAATAAAATAGATGTTGTAATTTCCTCTTTGCTCATAGAAGGTGCCACTTGTTATCAATTTGGCCCACATTTATATTAATATCTTTTCCCCCTGTATATACAGCAGAACATTTAGAAGAACAATAATTTTTGTATAAATTAGGTATTATTTTGTTGTCAGAACTGGTATTCAACAATATAATAAATTTTTTTAGTCTTTTTTTCTATTTTTATTTATTTCATGGAAGTACGCAACTTTTCCGTTCGTTACTAAGGTGTTCCTTACAACTTTTATTACGTAATATACTATTATGTAACACTTTTCGAAAAATGAGTCGAAGATGTTACTATGTTGATTCAAATCAGTTATGAGCAAAAATTGATTTTTATTAAAAAAATAAAAATCACTGATTTATTTAAATGAATCAAAAAAATCATGATTTTTTTATTTTTATTTAATCAATTGATAAATCCGCTTAATTAGCTGTTTTAAAGTCATTGCAATTGTTGCCGAGAACATTCAAGCTAAGTTGAAAAGATTCAATACTTGTCCGAACGCATTTTCGACGGAAAATTCTTGTTGCTACTCGTTTTCGCACGTTGTTCGGCATAATCTATCAATGCCATCGCCTTTCTTCGGTCTTACTCATTTTGTCACAAAATTTCAAGAGAGGCTAATGTTGAAAAGTGTGTAGATTTTTAGTGTTTGTGTAATAATAATAAGTCAGTTTCAAAAGAACGCAATGGCTAGAAGAAGCAAAGACAGTATTTGGCAGTTTTACATCAAAACCACATCTTCTAATAAGTCAGGATGCAGAGCAACTTGCAAACAGTGTAAGATAGAGATTCAAGGCATAGTACTGAAGGCACATCATGACGTTTGCAAGAGGCAACAAAACAAACAAGGCACAACAACAAATGCAAACATCGATCTTCCGCCCAACTTTTTTGAGACTGGGAGTGCTTCTTCCTCCTTTACATTTCCCTCGACAAGCCCCAACTCACCTCCAGAATCGCCATCATCTTACACACAAACAACTACCGAGTCGGCTTCCAAGAGAAAGAAACGTGAAAGCCAACCCTCAATGTCCAATTTCGTGAGTCGAACTTCAGCAGGAAAAAACCATCTTATTGACAAACAAATAGCTAAGGCCATATTTGCCACAAACTCAAGTTTTAGATGTATCGAGAACTCGGAAGTCAAGAAAGCCATTCATCTATTGCGACCTGGATACAGTCCTCCTTTTCGAAAAACGGTCGCATCGAGCCTTTTGGATGAGATTTATACTGACGAAAAAGGGGCATGTTTTTCATCTCTTTCGGGGAAAAGTGTTAACATGTCGATTGACGGATG